GCCAATCAGATACGAGGATCGACGTGTGGATTATTCTAGAGCTTGATTTCCTAATTAGGAATATCGGCAGACTGTATATTGAACATATTTTGATAATCACGTACGTCCGCATGTATATACGTGCTTATGTAATGAAACAAAGGCAATCACGATTACAAAGTTTTAATATGAGTAAGCCAGGTTCAAACCCGGGTTTTTTTTTTACGAATGGTAATAATATACAGTATATCTATTTTAAAATCAGATTCTGTCTTAATGACATTTACTGTAATCACGCAACCACGTATGCATGTACTATGCTGAAGCTCGAATCTTGATTCTCGGTAACCGTATTATATCTATATGGTAATCATACGGACACTGTTAAATTTGACAGTAATTGTATTGTTATTATGTGTTCACATTGTATTACGATAATGTGTCTAGATTTCTGTACGTATACATACAGAGATCTGATATGTATGCGATTTGTTTTCTTTTCTCTTACGCGTAATAACTTGCTAACCAACATGCGATCTATCCAAAAATACATCTAAAGTTGTATGTGCGTACTAATTAAGCATTCTTATATTAATGCATATATGCACGTTTGAGGTTAATACCTGTGCCAGCTGATTACAGATGCTTTATTTTCAGAAATCAGTTCCGAGTATGACATCATTTCACGTTTGCGATAAGTAATGTATGCAATCATATGTTATTATCACGACAAACTACAAAGAACATCCAATCGAAGGACAAGATGCCTTATTACAATTGTCATTTAGAATCATTTCTCAAAGAAAACGATTACAATTGTCATTTAGAATCATTTCTCAAAGAAAACATGTTTGCGATAAGCCACACATGTATACTATCATATGATATTATACATGACAAAAAACATCCAGTAAAGAATAAATTATCTGGTTACGGTTGTCGTTTAGAATATATATATTATATATATGACATGTATACTTAAAAAAATTATATATGTGCACTATATTTGCAGTGAATTTTTGTATTCCTGAAAAAAATGTCATCACATGCTACATTGATTGTTATTATCATTAGTAAAGAAAATTCTAATTCGCTTACTCAAGGATTCGCTAAGTATCAATCCGCTGAAGATGATTTTAAAACGGTTCGCTGGAAATATTTTTATCCTTTCCAAAAGCCTTATGCCGAATTTTCAGCAGGAGATATCGTAATGTTCGTGGGAAAATTTATAGTTGAAAGTTTGGAACAATACATCACAGTTTCTCATGTCAATGTTATCGCGACTGGTGATTCGAATCAAGAGTTTGAGGCTAATGAGATCCCGTTTAGCATTTCTTATTGTATGTTTCTTGTGCTGGTTAATCGTGATCCAAAAGAACGTAATACATTAACATACTTTGATGCAGAATGTTATCAGTATAATTCATTCACAAATACTAAAAAAAGTTCATATGAAAATGAGAATATTTTACTCCACCGACGCCTCACGGTTCTCCTACTTACGTGTTAACAATAGTATTAAAATTGGCAGATCGTTTCTTATATCCAGTGTAATTAGCCGTATAATACCTGATTTCACTATGATTGAAGCTACGGATATTGACTTTGCAACCATTAATGTTAATGCAAGCCAAAATACCCAAGGAAGCTCATCATTTATTGATTATTGCTCAGATGTCGACCTGATCGCTGATGATGTGGAACCTGCTAATACCAGAACTCTTAAGAGACCTCATAGATTAATACCAAACCCTTCTAAGCAAGATACAAGCTCTGAACTCAATAACGAAGAAACTACCGTCTCTCTTCCAAACACGATTTCTGTTGTAGCTGCCAATGCTAAAACTATCCAACCTCTGAAAGGAAAAAAAAGTTATCTGATTTAGCTCTAAACCAACTTGAACTGAATACAAATGAAGAAAAC